GGAAGCCCGCGGCGTACGCAGGCGCAGTGCTTGTGTGTCGTGGGCTTCAGGGCTGCCTCGTAGCATCTGCAACCTGGGCGTTCTCCCGCTCGCCGCCGCTCCGCCTACGTCCAGGCTCCGCCCGGCGGCTCGAATTGCGCAACCCGTTGGCGTAACCGGGAGCGCAACGTGGAGACCCGGCTCGGTGGATTCCAAGCTCTGCAGCTGGGGAACTAGAGGGCGGTAGGTCGGGGCCGGGCTTAAGTGAAAGGATCGTGGTTACCACGGAAATGAGCCCGGCGCTTACCGGACGCTTGCTGTGTGGCTGAGCCCTTGTGGGGGTGACTGGTGCTTTAATCTTGAGAGCACAGACCAGCGCCAGCCAGCCTGTGCGGACCCGGAGCCTAAAGAAAAGGGCCGGTAACGGGAGGTCAAGCTCTTTCACTCCTTTGGGCAGAACTGTCCAGTGGTTCCTCATCTCACCCAGAGTAAAAAAGATGTTAAAACTCGGCCCTGAGCTCCTGCCTCTCACCACGCCTCTCTCCCGCTAGGTCTGGATGGTGGTGATGGTGGATGTTAGGCACCTGCTTCCGGCTGCCTTTGCACCCGCTGTTCCCGCCCCGAGTCCTCTCTCCCCAGACACCTGGGTGGCTCGCTCTCTCGCCTCCTTTGAATCACTGCTCACGTGTCACCTTCTTGGTGAGATCTACCTTAGCTACCCGACCTAAAGCCGCAACTTGCCTAGCTCCATGAACCTGCTCAGTTTTTTTTTCCCTGTAGCATTTATCATCGTATGTTTTTCACCTCCCTTTTCTTTTTCTTTTTTATTAAGGTATTACATATGTGTCCATATCCCCCCATTGCCCCCCCTCACCTCCCTTTTCTAAACCCCAGACTGAAACCGCAGGAAGGCAGGGATCTTGTTTTGTTAACGGATATAGAAACACGCCTGGCACATAAGACACACAAATGTTGGTGGAATCGGTGAATGGGCTTCCGGTTCCTCGTCAGTGGGATAGGAGAACCTCTATTGTATCTCCTATTATACTCACTACTCAGTTATTACTCTGAATACTTCCAGTCACCAAATGTGTGGGATTTCCCCCCCTACACTGGGCTTTCTTCCATTATCTACAGACATCAACTAGATGCCCTACAGTTCAACTAAATTCTGACACTATCTACCTTTGAGATAGCATCCGATCCCACAAGCTAAGGGCTCAGTCCCACAAGACTGCCCGAACTTCAGATGCCAGTTGCAAGTGCCAGCTTGTTACTGGTACTTCAGCTGACTGGCTATAAACTAGAGTTCCTACAACTTCCTTCATGAGTTTGATCATTTGCTAGAACTTGGGGAAACACATTCGCCAGTTTATCCTCCTATATAATAAAAGGCTAATATGCAAATTGTCCCCTTTGCCAGGAATTCCACTGGGAGGCCGACCAGGGGGCGGGGCCAGGCAGCCGCCCCCAGCCCCTCCCCCC